TCGGAGCAAGAATCCAAGGTGAAGAGGAGGAGCAGGAGAGGAGGAACTCAGGGCTGAAGCTGGTCTTCCACTCAGCCTCAGAAGTGAGCAGCTACTAGGCCTCTTTATCCTTCCAGCCCTTGTGCTCCAGTCCCCCAGGGCTCCTGCCCTGTGTCCTCTGCTCCACCGTGCCTCTGCAGCCTGTCCCATTAGCCCTTCTTGCCCAGCCCTCTGGCTTCTGGAGAACACTTCAGGTCCCCGCCCACTTCTTTGTCTCTGTCCTTCTCCTCGCTTTGTGCCTCTAATGCCTGATTTGGCCCAAGGCATCGTTCAGCTCCTTTCCCACCATGACCTCCTCCAGGCTGGCCAGAATCCTGAGACTAGCCGAGCTTCACCTTCTCCTGCGGTCCACTCCCACCTCCCCGCACATCCCTGGCCAGTCCCCTACCTGGATACCCTGTCCTCTTCTCCCTTTATCCAATCCAGTTCCTTCCCATTCAGCTGGGCTGGATTGAGCTCCCTCAGCAGGGAAGTCTCCTCCTTGTAGTTTGTGGTGCTTTCATGACCTTCGTTCCTCCCTGCCCAGGGTGGAAGGTGACTGGCACAGCGGCAGTGAGCACCTGAGCCTTGGCGTGTGCTGAGCTCCCTTTCTGCTCTGGGGCTCTTCCTCTCAGTGATCCTGTAGAACAGGCCCACACCCCTCCTCTCTGGTCCCTACCCCTCCCATGGGCCTGGCTCCTGCTGGTGCTTTTTGTCTTCGGCACCTGGTGCAGAGGAAGGGATGGTTAGATTCAAGCCGGGTGGCGGGGGCAGCCTGCTCAGGTGGCCTTGATCTGGCCTGGTGGCTCCTGAGGCCAGATCTCCGGAGTCCCTCGGCTCCTCTCCTTGTCCAAGTCCTGTCTACAGCCTCCCCGGTATTCTGGGGCCCCGCCTTGACCTTCCAACATACTAGACCCCGCTTGCTTTTAAGCAGCCACCTCTGTCGCAGGCCACCAGGAGCCCCGGCAGAGGCTGTCTCCTGAGATGGAATAGGAAAGTCAAGGCCCAGGGCAGCGGGGGAGTGGAGAGGGGCGGCCTCTGAGACCCCACGAGGGACTCTGGGTGGGGCCGGTTTCACGGGCTAGTGTTTTGGTGGCTTTGGCGGTTTTCTTTCAGGTGACTGCCAGACACCCCAGGCGAGACGTAAGGATCTCCATGAGGAGGGCACGACTCCAGAAGCCTGCCTGCTCCACCCCCGGCCGGCTCTGCGGGCGCAGGGGCCGCAGGGCGCCCGGGA